AGTAAGATTGGCATTAAAAAAGGGAGGGCGACGAGGACGGGAGAGGGCGCGGTTTCGTCCAATCATCCGACGAAACAAAAACCGTCGAGATGAAAAATACTGATTTTTATTCTGGCAGGTTGTACTGGGTCGCCCCTTTGTGGCACAGCTTGGGCTACCGAGAGCAGATATTGCACGTCGCCGATGATATTGAATATTTAAATCGCATTGATATTTCACAAGAGAGTGAGTGAGAGAGAAAGAGTAACACGACAGCGTCGAGTTAAAAATATGAAGTTTTTTCGGCGCGCCACAGAGCCGATTTGGAAGATCGACCGACAGTGTGATCGAACGCGAATGCCCTGTCTGTTCACGGATATCGACCGAATCATCCTCCGACGATATAAGTGAAACGTCGTATCGAGACGTTGACAGGTTTTCGATAACGACGCTTGATAGCTTGAATATATTAATTTCTCGAGCGCCATATGTTTTCATTCCTAATTGATCCTGAAATCGGAGAAGCGATTTGCGTTAATTTCGATATCACGCTCGTTCAGCTCTCTCTTCCAGAATACCTCTTATATATTCAAATATTATTATTTTTATTTACGGGGAGCGTTCTCCTTAATATCTTCAGCGATGCTAGGTACGGGATAACGCGTATCTCTCTGTGTTATTGCATAATGGTGCAGCGGAGCGCATAACGCTCAAGTCGTAAGAGGGTCAATTTCGCGATAGATGTATTTTCGTCGCGGTGCACCGATGCATCTGGAGAAGTACCATCTCGAATTCCTCTTGCCCTCTCCTTTCTCTCTCCCTCTCTTTCCTTTGAACCACGATACCATAGCGCTGTTGAGTTCGGTCAATGAGAGTAGCCTACATTCGTCGTGTGATCTTTTCCTCGCGCATGGGCAGCGCACACAGAGGGGGGCCGGAACCATAAGCCCTCGCTTCCACCTTCACGTACACGTGTACGCGAATATACACGAAGAGAGCCAGGCACAGTCCTTCCCTCTCTCTGTCTCTCTCCCTCTCTTTCTCTCCCGCACGTCCCTTCGCTTCTCAGACGATAGGGGACAAGTCCTACTCCGTCCTTGTCGGGCCGATAGGATGCTGCCAGGCTTTCTTCGTGTACAGTCGGGGCCCAGGATCAGAGTAGTAGGTTGTACAGGTATGCATGCGGTGGGTTGGCCGGGGGCATTCCTGCGGCGTTGCCGCGTCTCTTACTCACCGTGCCCTGAGAGAGTAAGAAACGAGAGAGAGAGAGGCAACAGCCGGGAGAAAAGGAAGGAGTGAGACAGGATGAGAGAGGGAGCCGAAGGAGGAAGGAGTAGAGACGACGAGAGCTCGGCTCTCGCACGGCCACGAGCGCAGCTCGAACGAGTCTTTCTGCCTTTTCGCGGAGGCAATCGAGTTTGCTCGGGAAGAGAGGACTGCCTCTCGCGAGACCCGTTCCCGGCTACCGCCCGTCACCGCCGCTCCTTGCTCCCGATATCCCGATGCCGTTCCTGCACCGGGGAATCGCTAACTTCTTCCTCGTTGCTGCCGAAGAGATAAACTTGCTCCGTCTCCCGCGAAGCGCGTGTGAGACGCTGCGAAAGAGCTTCGGAAACTCGCGCGTGATGCGACGAGAGACGGAACGAGGGATCGCTCGTACCGGGATTAACTGAAATTTAATCAATCTTCTGGAGGGTCACCCGAGAAGAGCTGCGTCGAGGGGGCGGTATTGATTAATGCATTTACGATAAAGGAATCAGCAGACAAATTAGCGATAGAGACGAGACGAAAAGGAAGGAAGACAGAAGGAGACTTTTTTCGTAATTTCGATTTCGTCCACTTCTAATTTCGCGCTGGCTCTCGGCTAATGTCCGCTAATGTGCAACGGAATCGAATGAAAGGAAGTTTCGAGTCTTGGGTGGGGTTTCGCCGGCTCTCCCGGCGATCGCATCGTCGGGGGGCAAAACGATGGACTCGCCTCTGCAGTAAATGAGTTCGGAACGCGAGTGGACGGTAGTAGCGAACGTGGTAGCGCTCGTGGGCCTTGCTTCAAGAAAGTAATTGAGTTTCGACTGCCGTATTACAGGTTCGTCTAAATTCCTCGAAAGAGCTCGATCGAGTGCATGAGGAGGTGCAGCTAAATTACGCTTAATTGAGAGATTTCTGGTAATCTAAAAATCCTGATCATAAAATAGATACTCCTATTATTTCCACCATTTAAAAGTAAACAATAATACTTTTAATGTTCAAAAATTCGTCGTTTCGGAAATCTCTTTAGCGTTGAAAAAAATGAAAATCACCGATCTAGATCCATGAAGCATATCGAGAGGAGAGACCAAAAAAACGTATGCATTCGGGACTTCGAGAAGCAGTTTAGGAATTCGATCTTGCAAGATGTCACGCGCCGATGAAGAGTTTTAAGTCCTGGTAATTCGCGAGCAAGCTCGCTCCGAGAGAGCGAGCGATGCCCTCGGAGTTATCGGCTGCGCTCGTACCTGTAAAGTTCGGGAACTAAGGTAATGGACGCGCGTCTTAGAGATCACGAGCGCGATCGAACGATAAAGTTCGCGGATGTTAGCGGCAGCGGCAGCGACGACGACGGCACCGGAAGGAAGTGAAGCGGGAGGCGCAAAGATCGCGGGGGTAAGGATAACGAGGAGCTTGCGTTTCGTGCGAGTCGGGGGAAACGAAGTTAGCCGCCTCCATTGGCAAACACGGTCCACTGGGAACGGATCCTTGGTAAGTTCCATTAAACGCGTTACGTACCGGGAGGGGGCGAAGAACTCCCGAGGGGTCGTCGGGGAAACTTGCCGCGGCTAGTCCGCGGTGGTCGCGATCGCAGGAGGATGTAACCCGGAGATCTCGAAACCGAGGCAGCCAAAATTCGCTAAGGGCAAATAGCGCGTAGCAAGAGGGAGAGAGACCTTAGCCTTGATTATTATCTAGTCGAACATATGTATAAAGGTCAGTGTAGATGCTCCCTACATCTGGGACATTTAATATGATTAATAAAATATACAATAATTAATTATTTATAAATTGATGCAAATTAAATATACTTCATATATTGTAAAAATATTCTTTTTTTCTTACGACGTCAAAAGTATGTAATCAATATTTGACTGAGGAAAGAGGGCGAGGACTAATAAATGCGAGAAGTTCCATTATTTTATTTTCTACTAATTTCTAGTGTTTAAATTATGGAATTTAAACAGGGGTCCGTATAATCGCGCGTGCGGAAGGTTTCAGCCGCCCATGTGCATTTTATTTTACATAAACGTTCCAAAACCGCACCGTTGACCGTATAAAATAAGGCGGGATGCCACGAGTTTGCTGGCCGAATTCGTGAAGGCGTCTCTGCGTCTCGAGCCGTGCCGACCGTCCCCAAAAGCGCGACGAAACGACCCCCTTTTAATCCCTGAACGCTAACTACCGGCACCTCGGACGATCTTGCAATTCGGAAGATTGGTTCACATTACGAAATTATCGTTATTCCCCTCTACGAAAGGGGGGAATGAGAGAGGCCGCGGAGAGGGCGAGCCATCGAGACGCCCCAGGCGCCAGACTTTTTTTCGGTTAAAATATGGAAAACGTAGCCCGCGTGGATGATCTTCAGAAACGCATAATGGGACTGGAAGGTCCAATCTTGGCTCCGTTAAATCACGTTCGCAACGATCAGGACGAGGGCAGTGCACACAGAAGAATCCTTTATCCGAGCAAACAACATCCATCGCCTCGGGACACTGACTCGGTGCTCGCAAGAAGGGAAAAAAGGAGGGGTGAAGAAAAAAGAAAATTAAAAGTGCGTTACCGTGAATCCCGATGCGACGAGAAATTATATCGCGATTAAGGACAGACGAGAAACAAAGAGCTTAGTTAATGTAAGTGGACCTGAAATTTCTTCCCCTTGTTCGGTCGACGGAGTAAATTTAAAATAAAATGCATCTGAGAGGTATCATAAATTAAAAAAGGATTATTAAACATAAGCTGTAAAAGTTTCGCTAATTTAGAAACAGTCTTCAATCTTTAACGAGCGCATGTATCATGATAAAGATGATTAAAAGAGATGTTAAATAAGAATTAGAAACTTTTGTCCCACGAGGAAGAGAGGAGCAGGCGGATTATATAAAATAACAGTCTAATGTGAGTTAAAGCAGATGAGCATAGCTCTCATCTACTCATAGCTACCACGTGATCGGTCGCTAGGATAGTCGTGTGGGTAAGTATAGCGGCGCGTACGCGCGCGCAATTAGTGTCGTGGCAATTTGGTCTTTCTTTCTCTCTTTCCCTTCCTTTCGTATTCAGCGTCTCCGTGCAATAAATCACGCGGCCGCCGCGCCGTGCCGTGCCGCGAAATTACGACCGGAGCGTCAGGAAACGTCGGCTTGATGCGAGCTAACGTGTCTCTTACGTTCGCTTCTCCGTTAGTCGAAGGAAGGACCAGGGTCTCAGATCGGGACAAAGGAGATATAGCGTGAATTATCAGTCGCATTAAGTGCTTTTCCGCAATTAAATGATCTGTATTAACTTGTTTTTCACAATACTGTCACGGTTATTTTCGCCATACAATCTCAATTTACTTTAAACAAAGTTCTTGGCGGATAGTTTATACTAAACTATTTCTCTTAACGAACCACAACGATTAACGAGAAGTATTTTGATTCCCGTATTGAAAGAAGTAACTTTAGTGAACGTGAAGATAATTAAGTCATCGGTGACTCGAGTTGACGATAAACGATCATCGAAGAACTCCGCCTTCTCGAGACGATCGACAGATCGGTCGATCACGCGGCGGCAGCGCGGGCGGCAGTAGTAACCGTTTCGATCCTACCTAACCCGATACATCTGGCTAAGTATACATCCGAGAGTGGCAATCGGGCGCGATGTATCGCGACCCGAGGTGTCGCCGCGAACTATCATCTCGGCTTGATTAGCCCTACGTAGATAGGTAGGCAGAAGAAGATGAAGTAAGGAAGAGAGAAGAGAATAGAGAGCCGAACGGACGACGAAGGAGCGCTTACCTTGTTCCGCCTGGGTCCCTCGCGGGCAGATTAGCAACAGCAGCAACGGCAGAAGGTGGGCAGCGGAAGCAGCAACGGCGGCGCAGGTGGCTAGGAGGCCTGCTACGCTCGCCATATTGAAGGGGGCCATTCTTATCTCCGTGTGGGCCCCACTGCCGCCGCGTTGGACGGCCGCCGGTCCTCTCACGATCCGTGCGAGAGGATGCAGCACACCGGCAGAGCGTCGTCACTCTCGTCTCCTCATGCCTCCCCTTGCGCTTCGCGTCGCGTCGTCGTCTTGCGCGTCACGGCAGCCGACGACGTGCAGCCACTGATAGCTACCGCCGGATTCCTTCACCCTCTTCGTCGACACCACCTCCGCCTTCTTCAGCGGCCACTACTTTGCCTGCCCGCTTGTGCTCCAGCTTATCGCTCCGACGGCCGCTCTTATTTAGCTTTAGAATTCTTCCAACGGATTCACACACGGCAGTGAGTCACACGTTCTTCGGATATTTCTTGTCTCGGTGACGACCGAATGATAACGTTATGAATACAATGCTGCCCAATAGTTTATATCACAGAACTGTCGTCTTGCTTCATTTATTACGCGTGACTTCCTTTAATGGTGAACGGAGATCAATCTTTCTTACTTTACATGGCGATACGGTTGGATTTCACCAGCTGCTGCGTCTGAAAGAAATAAAGAGATAGCTGGCGTTAATTAAAATCTAGACACACCACTTTTTCTGCTTGGTTGCGAGTTGTACCTTCCCTTGCTTCCAAGGTGATAGTATGCGACATGCGTAGACAAGCAACATCGTTTCTATCACTCGCATGAATGGGAAGGCAAAACTACAAATGTTCTTTTGTTTTCTCTACTCTTCTAACTTCTGACATCTCTGAAAAATACGGTATCATCTTCGTAATTCTCATTGAGAAAGGCATTACTTTAACTAACGATGTTGCTGGTTTATATATATACACAATATTTTTATTATAATATGTTCTTTTTAATAAATTGATACTGCATATTAAATCACCCGTTGCGTTATTTGATATCATGTACAGAAAATGTATGATAATTTGTATAGTTACAAATGATAATAAAATGACATTAAATTGCGCTACATGTATAAAACCCTAAGAAACGAGTCGCAAGATATCATTCCTCGCATCATTCACCTACATTGTTTCTTTTAAAAATGCTGACCTTTAATTACTGATCTAACAAGCCTAGTGGCAAGAAAAGTGTCACATATAAAGGAAGAAAAGTAAACGCACAGGATATATCTCGAGTTCAAGGTCAAGTTGCGTCACATTGGCGAAGAGTTCCAGGGACACCGACCGGAATTACTTACTGTCCAACGGGCAATTATCGTGCGTGGCAAAGAAAATAGTGCTAGTAACGAGAGAGCGCAAGAACGGCGAGGGGAAGAAAGAAATAGGAAAAGGGGCGAAAGCCCCGTACAAAACTTTGGGGTTCATCACGATAGTGGAAGGGTGCCGGGATAAGGCGAGACGGGAGAGCAGGGGGTTCCAGGATCAATACCATGCGTTTATCCGTCTCCCTCTCGCTTCCTCTATCTTCGATTCCTGTCCTTTTCTCACGCTTGTAGGGAACGCGACACGGCAGGGAGAGTGAAACAGAAAGAGAGAGAGAGAGAGAGAGAGAGAGAGAGAGAGGGAGAGAGGGCGCGAAACATCGACCATCCCTTTTCGGCCAACTGCGTCTTTTGCTTTCGCTTCGGCTGCTAGGGCTCTAGGGTCTGGCCGGCGTCTCGCCATTCTTCGACGAAACGAGAGAAACAAGATAGAGGAGGAAAGATAGAGGGGTGCCGCGTGCGAGGAGGCACGGGCGCGAGGATCGAAGTAGGAACGAAATTCTAGAGTGCCGAAATATAAAGGGGTGAAAGAGAGCGAGTGCGTGTCAAAGAAGTGTATGAAAGAAAGATAGAAAAAAGGAGAGAGGAAAGAGGCGAGGAGAGAGGATGACAGAGGAGAGACAGAACGAAAGAGATAGAGAAAGAGAGAGAGAAAGAGCGGCGGTAGGCGCGCTTTAGTTCTTCTAAAGCGGGCAAAGACCTTCTCTCACTCTTCCCCTTCTCTCCGACTCTCTAGCCAGGTCAGCCAAGATGCATCCGCGAAATTGCAGACTTCAGTGAAACGCCGCCGCCACTGCCGCTGCTGCTGCTGTAGCTCGGTTCGACTCGGCTCGGCTTGGCGGACAGCGCCTCCTAGCTCGGCTACCAACCGCTGCTGGTATCACTCGTTTTCTGCCGTTGCCATTGCTCAACGAGTGGTCTCGTCAAAAATTTAAGATGTCTTCCTTTTACCTTACGGCGCACCTCTTCGGGTCTCCTTCATCGTCCTTCTCGTTCCGCCTTCTTCCAACTTCAGAACGACTTCCTCTTCGGAACGGGCTAGAAATCCATAGTGCTTCCTTTCATCCCCAGCCTTCTCATTCACTTTTTTAATAAGACCCGCTAGAGAAATTGCCGAAAACAGCTCCGCTCGTCTCGAGAGAGAGCACGAGAGAGAGATTGAAGTGGCGATGGAGGAGGAGGAGGATGGCTGCCCGTAGGCGAGTACCTTTGAGACGCTATTTCCCATTTTTTCCCTTGTTCAATCCCCGCGCGTCTCGTTACCAGTTATACTTTTTCCTTCCGTCGAAAAGCAGACGTAAACACGACGGGTATCGTCTCTCTCGCTAGCGGGTCGCTCACTAGGTGGTTGGCCACCTCCTTCAACGAGCAAAAGCCTCACTCTTTCCTTCCCTTTGTCTCTCTACATTTTTGCCTCGCGTCCTCTTCCGGACCAGACCTCTTTCCGTGTACCCACCACCCAGGTAGGTACCTACGCCAAATTGCAGATTTCGGAGGCGGTGGAGACCTCCCGACTCGAGTGGTTCGTGAAAAATTTAAGCCTTGCCTCTGTGCGATGCCGCGTCTCCTCCAACGAGCTTCGCGTCGAGCCGCGACACTCGCCCGTTGGATCATCGCAAACCCATAGAAAAGGGGAAGGAAGAAGAAGGGGGCACAACCGAGAGTGCGCCTCTGATACACGCATACTGTGTACAATGCCTCTCTTCGGCTTTCGGGAATATCTTGGAGTGCACTTGCCTCCTTTCAAGGTGAAAAGCCTCCCTCTCTCCCTCTCCCCTCGAGTCTCGTGACGTCGCGTTCGCGCTTCCACCCAACCGCCGCGAACCCCCCCCGACCACTCTTTGCATACAACCCCGCGAGAAACTTTCGCCAATGTAGCCAGGTTGGACGTTTTTATCCAGATTAAGACGCCCCCCGTCGTCGCAGTTTCACTGAGTTTACCTCGGAGAAGTTCGTTATCCGATAGGAAAGTCTGTCGGTATCTCCAAACATGATGAATGACACTTTGATGGTCATAGAAGGTAAAAATATATAGTCATACATAACGGAAATTTATCGCTTAATTTATGCTGCTCGATCTTAGAATTCTAACTCGATAACGGTTCTTTTAGTTTGTACTAATTGTAAGACACCGCATTACAACAAGAAATTTTTTATTTCATCAAACTGACTTTCGTATGAAAAGTAAATAATGAAAAAAATCAAGCCTTCAAGACTGTCATAAGAATGATAATTAACGCATCATGAAATTCTATTTCTAATTAACGTAACGGAAATCTATATTCTCATTTCCTGTGACGAAAAATACGAGTAATTTTTGTTTCTTATTCATTAGCATTTTTTCGCTATTTGGAGAGAAAAAGTGCATTAAAATAATGTCGCGTAGCCACGTGTGAGTACTCGCTCATCTTCTTTCTCCTCTTCTTGCTCTTCACCTTTCGGCGGCTCGGCAGGCTCTCGTTTTCGTCCGATTCTTCTTGTTTTCTGCGTTTCGTCGGACTTTCCTCGCACCACTGCCGGCGCCCGTGACCGCCCCGGGACAAATTCTATTTCCGGTTGAATTTAAGACCCCCCGGAATATACGGATTTATTTCACCGGCGTGCCGCGTGCACCGGGGAGGGATGAGAAGGAGGAGGAAGGAGGAGCGGCGCGGTTTTACTCCGGATCCGACGAGGCTCGTAAACGTAACAAAGAAAAGATGTATACTCGGGAGAGACGAGAGAAGCAGCGCAGACACAGACGCAGGGCGAAGAGCGGGGGAGGCCTGCGAAGGGCGTAGGAGAAAGAGAGTAGGTTCCTCGAAATTATTATACCTTGGACGATCGCCACTCTCGGAGCCGATCCGGGCGCTATTATTTTTCCAAAACTACGTTTTTTACCTCGAACCCGATCTCTCCCTTTTCTCTCTTTTTCATTCTTTTTCTTCCTCGCCTAGCCGACTTTTACGATAGTAACGATCGTCCGGTTAACGAGTGACGGATAGACGCAAGAAGCGAGACAACTTCCATTCTTGATAAATGAGAGAACATCGTCGTTAAGGCGGCCATCGCGTGATCGGGTCCACTTTTTAGAATCTCCGTTCACGATCGTCCTATTCGAGATTTTATTGCGATGTGTTTGTAAAGATAAGAATTTTAAAACAATTCTTTGAGCCATTATGTCATCTCTTTTTCTTTTATGTCTTCCTTTGAGTCTCCCCCTGCTTGTTTCGATTAGATCTATTATTTATTTCCGTTGCTTTGATTTATGCCGCTTGTGTGTATCTACGTCCAGGATTTCAATTTATGTTGATGTTAAAAAAGAAGAAAAGATTGAGAGACGACGAGGAAGAGGATGGAAAAGAAAAGATTTTTCCAACATTACTAGATTCCCCTCTTTTCATAATTAAAACTCATAATACCGTCCGCCAAGCACTGCTTGCAATTACCGCGTAATGAACCTTAATCAGTTTTCTTTTGTTACGAAACTATCGCGCCGCGCGTTAAATATGCAAGTGAGGAAAAAAAATGAAAGCCGATGCAATTTAACTGCTGCTATTCGCTACAAGCTTGTAAATTTTATTCGCATTCGCTTTATGCAATTAGCAACAGCATCGTGCGAATTAAATGCTCGCGTAAAGCGCGGCTGGATTTGCGAGAAGGAACGCGAACAAATCCGCGGGTATCGATATACACAAAACCGCGAGAATTTCGCAACTAACCTGGCCGTTTGTGCCAGGTGAAAGTGAGCCGTGCGAGCTCCTGTGATATTGCATCGAGCAAAACCACGGTCCGACCGAGAGACGCAACGCGTGTTCGATTCTCATTCATGTTTAATTAAGATTTCGCGTATCGGCTGCACTGCGCGCATCGTCATATCGCTGTCGCTGTCGCGTCAATCGGATTCATTGTGCTCGAACGGATCTGGCTCGTGAGGAGATTCAGTCGGATCTCTCGGCGTCGAAAACTTAACAGACGAAGCATCCGGTTCGGGTCGTTTCGACCCCGTTGAAACGATTGAAATACAAAGAGTATACGCGCGCGTGTTGAAGATTCGCATGATTTATAAATAGTCTTCGTGATCGAGGCACGGAGAGATTATCTAAACGAAACATCTGCGTGAAGGAAACTGACGTTTACGCGAGCGCCTGAAATATAAGAAATAAGACTCGCCATACATTTATTGGCATTCCGCTATAATCAACGGCGTTGGTATCGTCGATTATGTTTTTATGTTTCCTCGTTACTTACGAGGAAGCATGCGGAAGCACGCCTCCCTCCGACTTTGATGAGCTTGTAATATATTGAAATCTATATCAAAATAGGGAA